CTGAGCCTGGTTCTGCTGGAGGTTTCTTCCTGTTCAAAGGGAGTTTTTCCTCTCCACTGTCGCTACAAGCATGCTTAGTGTGAGGCATTGCTGAAGAGTCAATGACTGGAATCTGGTTGGATTGTAAAGTGACCTGAGATGACATGATGTGAATTGGAGCTATAGAAATAAACTGAATAGAATAGAATTCTGACTTTAATCTCAGCATGTCTGTCCACTAGGGGGCGTCCCTGGTATTAAAGTAGTATCTGATAAAAATGAGCTGGCTCTTCTAGTCCTCCCTGTTTATAAGGCAGGAGCCACATTCTAACCGTTATTTTACTATAAAAACCAAACAATTTCCTAAAATGATCAAACCACTTTAGGGGGCCGCAGGGGGACATTTAAAAAAAAACATATCTAATACTTTTAAACTACATTCATTTTGCAGGTGTGGATCCTGCCAATCAGTGATAAGGGGGCGGAGCAAATTCAACTTTAGAAGAATAAACGATCCTGATTGGTCTGATAAAGCAGGAAGTGGGCGGGGTCAGCTCCTCTGATGGTTAGAATTGGTGAATATTAGTGATATTTTATGTCTGTATAAAGATTTTATTGGATCATCAGGAAGGTTCGATGAAGAACTAAACATTAGAGAATAAACTCCCAACTTTAAGACGAGATTTAATCATTTTCTGCGATTTTTTCAGATGAAGTTCTCTGATTACCGAGTAGACATTGAACGCACCATGCCGCCATTGGTCAGCTCCAGCTCGCGCCTCCAGCGGAAGTCATTTGTTTCCTCCGGTCCAGCGGTCCCACTGACCGGACCATGAGCGGGAAGGCCCGGCGGAAGGTAGGACCTCCGGTGGGTCCGCGAGCCCGACCTGAGCAGACCGCGGCGGTGACGTCAGGGCGGCTGGCGGGAAAAGCGAAGGAGAACCGGTGGGTCCGAACTTTCAGAACTGGTCTNTTTTTTGTAGCTTTAAGTCTAGAATGTCCATGTCTTCTATTTCAGTTTGCTGAAGCCTCAAACGAAGAATCAATTCTTCCAAAATGTAGATTTCTTCTATTATTCCACTCTATTGTTCCTCATAATAGGTTTCTGACTAGCTATGAACATGATCTTCATCAGAGCATCAGCGCCAGGCTGGAGAGTTTTTAACAGAATAAAGTTGTAATACAAGAATAAATTAACCTCATTGCAACTTTATTCTCGTAATTTTATTCTTATAATGTTATGAATTTATAATTTTGAATATTCTCGTTGCAACTTTATTCTTGTAATATTATTTCATTTTCTTAATTTTATGACTTTTTT